TGTACAAGGTGTCCTGAAACCTGGAGGGAAAACTGCTTCCTGCTGCGAGGCAGATACGGTGTAAAAGGCTCCAGGCAGGATGAGCAGGCTGCAGGAAAAATGATCTGGCACATTGTGACAGAGGACAGCACCCTCGTCCACCCTGTCCCTACAACACCTCCCTTTGGGACTGCATTCCTCTGGAATGTTCTTCACAGTGCAGGGCTGCCTCTTTATGGGATTCTCCCCTACTATCCCAACCTGAGGGCTGTCTTTGAATTTCAGACTTGGGCAGCTGTACTCCTGAACAGAACATTTTTAAGTGTTTGCTGGATATGCCTACTAGTTTGCAGCTACCTGTTATGTTCTCTGTTAGTTTCTGCTTTCTAGTAACTAAGATAGTCTTCTTACATAGTAAACCATGTTGTACCTGTCATATGATGTGCTAGATAAATGATTGATTTTTTTATTTTTTTAACTTGAACATAGCAACTCTGCTGTCATTCAATCTCTTCCTATTGTCTTCATGGCAGATTGGAGTTTATATTTAAAGACATCACACACCTCTCTTCCTTTGACCCATTTTGTTAACTTGTTCATAAGATAAATGCAAGTAAACAGCTAGTTTCCCATACATGTAGCTGAAGATGTCTCCTACTTTTTATTAATTTCTTTTAAGCTCATTATTTTATACATTCCTAGCTTATTTTCTTCATGTACTATCACTGTCCAAATGAACTAATGGTAGCCTTTTTCATTTTTTCTAAGACCATCCATGTCTTTTCTTGATACTGCCTGTCTCCTCATTGCCATTTGTAATGCATTCGTTGTTGATTAAAATCATAAACTGATCAAAAGTGATGTAACATTTAGCTAGGTACGATCTATTTGTGTGGCACATTGTTCTCCATCTTTTCTGGATGGTGGAAAATGTACTCCACTCCTCGACAGCTGCAGTGCATCACATAAGTGTCCTCATTGAACTATCCATGATTTCCATGACTACTCCCTGAGAGATTAAATCTTAATCAGAACCTGTCCCTGAACCACGAAGAAGTGGTTTAAGCTGTTACTGTTGTATTACCTTCCACTTGTCTCTTTGGATTCTGCTGTGGAGCCCTGGTCCCTAATTAAGAATCTATTGGGTCCCTCTGGAATCCCTGTCTTTTCTAATTACTATTAACCTTTTTTATTTGTATTACTAGAGCATATAGAGGTTCCAGTTGGACACTGAGGCCTCTTTGTACTAGGAGTTGTATAGACATATAAGAAGACAGCTCCTATTCATGAATTAATGGTGTTGGTCTGTGAAAGCAAGAGGATGAAGCAAATACTGGAGAGGAAAGTACATAACCTCTTTATTTCATTGGCTTTATGTACATGCAATCTACATTTCATTAAGCTGAGTAATTTTGGAATATGACTCTAATTTTATTTTGTTTATTCTTTCTCTCAGAATGTATTTGCCGTCTTTCAGGCAGACTAGAATTTACCTGCCTGTGGTCTGCTTGCATTTATGTTCTGCTACATTTTGAATATTCTGTGCGGCTATAAACGTGATCTATGAGAGAGGTCACCCTCCTGACCTTGCTATGACTGTATGTAAAGCATGTTGTATACCGTAAGTGTGATTATAGCATGGGCTTTGACCACATAATTGCACTTTGAGATTCTGTCAGGGTGCTGAGTTTGTTACTCAGGTCCCTCACTGTGTTTCTCAGCCATCTGTAGAAGGTTGCCAGATTCACATTAAGATTTCCCAGGTAAATAACTTAATGGTTTTGCTTCTTTTTATGGGATCATTAACACTTTAAATTTCTGGCAGGATGCAAATGCTAACATATTTTTAGATTTGTTACCCATACGCTTCTGTCTCCTGTTGGATAAAAATGCCACTGTAGCCCCAGAGCTGAGAAAATGCCGCCTGCTTCTTGCATCACCCCTGAAGTCTTTTCCCTTGTTTTGTGAGAGAAGAAATGGCATTTCTAAAGATTTACTATAAATTATTTTATTCTTTTGAGGGAAGATGATTTTTAACTGGTAATATGCATTAGAGTGCTGGAGGGGCTGAAGTCTCACAGACATATATTTGGTGTGTATTTTAAACTTCCAGACCTGAAAGAGGACAATTGGGTTTTCTTTGCTTGTTTCTTTAATCTTTAATTGGACTGCCTCTTCTAATCAGATGTCCCTCCTTACCCCTTTTTTTGGGCCTATTTCCAGGTATTGTGCAGTCTTTTATGAGGTATGTTGCAGTCTCTTACAAGGTAGTAGTACCTATATCTAGGTATCTTACAGTTACAGAGTTCTCTGTTTAATGTGTGGGGACTTGGGGAATAAGGAGCGTTAATGTAGATTATGTTATGAGGCAAGATAGTTGTTTCTTTTAAGAGAAATCTAGATTTACCATGATTTCTTGATAGAGGTTATTCTTGTTTGGAGAGTGAAAGTAATTTCCAGCACTTAAAGGAGGCCTACAGGATAGATGGGGAGGGATTCTTTATCAGGGGGTGTAGTGATAGGATGAGGGGTAATGATTTTGAACTGAAAGAAGGTAGCTTTAGATTAGATATAAGGGAGAAATTCTTCATGGTGAGGGTGGTGAGGCGCTGGCCCAGGGTGCCCAGAGCAGCTGTGGCTGCCCCCTCCCTGGAAGGGTTCAAGGCCAGGTTGGACGGGGCTGGGAGCACCCTGGGCTGGGGGAAGGGGGCCCTGCCCATAGCAGGGGGATTGGAAATTGGTGGTCTTTAAGGTCCCTTCCAACCCAAACCATTCCGTGATTCTATGATTTTAAGGTTTCTCAGAATGAAAAAAGGCCTTGATGAACTAGAAGCAACGAAGAAAATTGTGGGTGCAAAAATGAGATGATGAAGCCTGACCTATAAAGGGAGATCAAAACAGTTATGTAAATAGTTTAAGAAAAAAAAAAAAAGTGATAAACTGCACTTGTATAATTATTGTGTAAGTATTAGGAATATGCAGAAAGGACCATACTGGAAGCATCAGGGTGGAAAAATACTAATGGGATTGTCAGGAAGCCTTTCTAACAAGGGGTGTTGTCATGATTGAGTTTGAGATTTCTTACTAGAATTAAGTAAATTACTCACAGTAATCAGAAAGTATAACAAGCAATAAATGTGAAACCAGCAAAAACAATGTAAGAGGGATGAAGCTCTTCATGTTTCTAGGATGGTTCTCTCACTGTTTGTATCCTTTCCAAATTTACTGAGATCATATTTTGGGCTGTTGTACCCATGTAGGACTTCTTCGGCATTCCCTTTATGGTTTTGTATATTAAAAGGTTTATTCTTAACCCACAGTGGTTTATCCTAGCACCAAACAATGTGAGGATTTTGGGGGCTTGTGTGTGTACTTGCTTGAGGACAGGAAAATTCTTCAACTCGTATTGCTACCGAATTCCTTTTATTATGAAAGAGTGGTTTTCATTTAAAACTCATCTGAATTTTGTGTTTAGAAAGTGATAGTGACTTGCATTTTAATTTTCTTTGTACCGGGTTCACCCTGTTATGCTGTTGTGTTTGTTAATTTTTGTGGTATCACAGTGTCAGAGATATCTTTGATACCGTATAAACAAATGGGAAGGCACTACCTTGGTTTCAGCTTGATGCAATGTTTGGAGTGAACCTTATGTGAAGTTGCCAATGCTATGGAGATGGATGATGCGTGTGAGTTTACGTAGCCTTGACATACATGTGCATTTAACAAATCTTCCTTCTGAGTGTAACGCATAATCAAAGGGCACAATGCCACACGTTGCCATCTTTGCTTCCAGCGACTTGCGGTGCACTTCTGTGCTAGGCTTTCCCCTTCCAAAAGAACATGTCCAGGGCTGCAGGTCTGCTTACCTCTCAGTTTGGGCAATACTTTGTTTGCTGAACTACTTCACAGCGATCGATGAATTTATTGTGAAATGATGCTTATGTGCACACAGAATTTTAGTTAAGCTGTGGTTAAGTTAAGCTACGGGCCTGAAGCTCACTGGGCTGGCTGCTTTTCTGTGGAAGGTCTATGCTTCACTTTCAGGGCAGAGGTTGAACTGAAGGCAGCGTGAATGGGGCTGCAGGAAAGCACACTGCTGCATTGCCAAAAGCTCCTTTCTCTTAAATTCAGTCAAAGTTTTCCCCTCTGTGAAGTTGCTTCTTTTCTGGGGTAGGAGAAGACCACAGCTGTTTATTAAACTACAGGTAAACAAAGCTCGTTCACATTGGACCCTGGAATTGGTAGATTATTAACTGAGTACTGATATTTTTCCATTGTGGTCTTTGGGGCATTTCTGATGTATTTCCTTGTTAGAAAACCGATCCTTAAGGGTGAGCCGAAGTCAAAACACCGGTGTGTGTGTGTGTGTGTGTGTGTGTATGTCACCGGCAGCCCCGCAAACGTCAGGGGCCACCCGCGACGTGGGCGTTTTACCCTGTGCACAATCATTTCTTACTGCGGCCTAGGGCGGGACGCCATCCCGAGGAGGGGCTGCGGCTCCCGCCTCGCGCAGCCCCTCAGCCCGGGGCCCGCCTCGCTCTGCAGCCCAGACCCGTAATGGCACCCGTGATGTGTGTATTAGTGTGAAAAAAGAAAAAAAAAATACTAAGCGGCGAGGCCTGAGGGCGCTCCCACCGCAGCTCCCCGCCTTCCCCCCGCCGGCGGGGCCTGCGGCTGCAGCCGGGGCGGGGCGGGCGGGGGAGGGCCGGGCCGGGCCGCGCCTCCCTCCCTCCCTCCCTCCCGCCGCCGCCGGGCAGAGCCGCCCGGGGCCGCGCCGGGCCGGGGCACCCCTGTCCGCCCTGCTGCCCGCCGCCCCCTGCCCCCGCACGCCATTTCCTGTGCTCCGTGTTTACTTCCCGGTTCAACCCCTTCACTGGGAGCGATCGGCGCCGCCGCCGCCTGCGGAGGGAGCGGGAGGTGAGGGGAGCGGCGGGGCGGGGACGGGAACGGGAACGGGACCGCCGCGCCGCGTTCTGCCTTGCCGGTCCCGGCGCTGAGCCGTCCGCCTCTTCTCTTTGCAGGTGTACCCGGAGCCGCGGACGGAGGGCGAGTGCCTGAGCAACATCCGCGAGTTCCTGCGGGGCTGCGGTGCCTCCCTCCGCCTGGAGGTGAGTCGGGGCGGGGGCGGGCGGCGCCCAGCGGGGTCGGGGCGGGAGGGTGCCCGGCTCCATCCCCGGGGGTGTGTGTGAGGGGGGGGGGGGTTTCCCCTACCTCCCGCTGCCCGCCCGGCGCGGCGGCAGTCGGCGTTGCCCTCCCTTTGTGCCCGGGGACGCGGGGGCGGCCGGTGACGGGCGGCTGACAAGATGGTGGCGGCCGCCCCTCCCCTGGCCGCGGGCCCGGGGGGCGGCGGGGGGGAAGCCGCCGCCGCTGCCCCCCCCCCCCCCCCCCCCCCCCACTCCGGCGCTGCCCTCCGCGGCCTCGCCGCTGCTCGATGGGTCTCGGAGGCGGCTGCGCCCGGGCCGGGCCGCCATCGCCGCGGGATGGTTTGGCTGACGGGCGGCGTTGAGGGTAAAATGTGCGGTGCCGCCTTGGAAGGGGCATGTGAGGGCCTCGCTTCTCCTCGCCGAGCGCTGAGGGAGGGCGCGCCCCGGCCCGCTGCCAGTGTAAAGCGGGGAGATGCTGCTCGGGGGGGGGGGTGGGGTGGGGTGGGATGTTGATCCGGTTCCACTGCAGATAAAACCTTTGCTTTTCTGCTCATGTGCATTCTTGGTAATAAGCGTATAGATTATATCCGATTTATTTGTGAAACCGCGCCTGGTGCGCCGGAGTTGGCTGATAGGAATTAAGTTGATGGCAGCCAAATGAAATACTGATTAAAGAAAATGGTAGGTGCTCTTTCTTATGTTCAAATTTACGTTACATAAAAGCCCAGCAAACTGCCATCTTTTCTGAACATGCGTTCACAGGGTTTCAAATTAGGTGCTCATATATTACCGGTATATTTAGCTATAGCAAGTACATACTGCTGTCGAGTTTACTTGGGTTGTGTGCGTGGGAAGGAACCGATGCGATTAAAACCAGATTGCAACTTCTCTGCATTGGGAAGTGAGGGGTATTCTAATTTCAGTTCTTACAGAAGTTTTTTTGGGTGGAAAAATTGGTTTCTGTTGCTTCTGAACTTAAATTATCAAAGAATTGCCTTAATTCTCAGGTTCATACAGTACCTCTGGTCCTGGTGTAATTTTGCCAGGCAGTAACAGAATATCATTAAAAGACTCTGATTGCTTTACTGAGTCCTCTAAGCAGTGAAGTATCATTAATGAAATTCATTATACTTATAGGACTTGCATTCAATCTTAGATTTAATCATAAGGAAAGGTGGAAATTAAGATAGCTTTTTAGCACTGTTCTTTGTGAAATAAGACCTTACATTCTTACCTGCCTTTCTCTTCCCCCCCTCCATTACAGAATCTTCTAGGATTTGTTGGGAGACAAAAAACAAATTAGGCTCTAAAATATTCAGAAGCCAGGTTCTGGGGTGGACTTTGCATTATCTCAAGCATTCTGTTTTGCCTTAGAGCAGATGTCTCTCCATTTGTCTTTCTAGGGTTGCGTTAAGTTTTTCATGTTTTGAACATTTGTGTGTGAGAGCTGATTGAAAATTCAAGTAGGCGACATACATGAGCTAGAGAGATGTGCGGCGGGAGGGAGGGAGGGACTTCAAATCTCAATTCAGAAATAAATTGATTATTGCAAATGTGAAAGTAAAAGGGGGGGGTAGGGTGGGAAATACCATGAGTATCTTTCCCCTCAGACTCTTTACTTACTTCCTACAGCAGGTCTGTCACTAAGCTTGAATTTTTTTCAATTGTGACAGGCTGGGAATAGTCACAGTGTTGCAGTTTGATATCTTTTTTTGTAGTTGCAGAAAGGTTTTGTCAGCTCTTTTCCTCAGAGTGATGAGAAAGTGAAGAAAAAGGATTAAAAGGAAAGATAATTTTGGTCTTGCTTTCAGAGCCTGAATATCTTTGGGCATAGCCAAATTGTTAACCTGGCCTCAGGGGCTTCTCAGCAAGATTGCCGGAAACGCCTTTCTTACGTGGAGATAACTGGCTGCAGTAGTTTCCAGCTCAGCATGTTGGAACAGGAATTGCGCCCAAGCTACCATAAGAGTTGAGAGGCTGGCAGGAAGGAGCACAAATGCTTGGGCTTATGGAGCCTCTTGTGTGTATATTTATGGCTTGTACATTGGCCGTTTCCTGTTGTTTTCTCATTAATTTTTCCAACCTCCTAGCTGCGGCCAAAGATGAGAGGATTGACAACCCAGATTCAACCAGCGAGTAGCTGGCAGGGGCCTCTCAGCCATCCACTAATTCCAGGCTCTTTCTCCTGTCCCCTTTAACAAGGTGTGAGTCAGTCCTCATGGATCTATGCCTTCCTCGCTGTGGGAACTGGGGAGATGCCACAGGTCCTCTGTGCAGTCTCTGTGTAGTGCTTCCTTAGTTGCAATCAGGTTTAGAGATTGCTTCAAGCAAAGAGTGTGAAGAGCATCTCTGGAAGCGGTGAACGGGATATTTTCAGAGAGGACAGATTAGTTGATAAAGAGTTAATGGTGAGTATAAATGTTTGACAAAGTGTCGGATGCATAGATGATACTCTAAATAGGAGAAACATTTGGGTAATGCAGGTATTGGAGGAAGTTTTAGAGTGGTGTGGGGAGATGTGATCTTGTTCTGTGCACTGACGTGGTGTTTTTCCTAACAAGTATTCCACAATGTGGAGTTATGGGTGGCTCTCCAAGGGGTGCACTTGAGCCTGACATTGAATCTGAGTTATATAGTTGCATCAGTTGATTTCTCTGTGTGTAATTTTGTGAGTGTGGTAAAAACATGGTACTGGTTTGGTTAGCCTAGGTTTGACATTGCACAAGCAATTTTTGCTCCCAGATCTGAACTTGTCTTGGAAGCAGTAGAGTTGTATTTTTATGAAACTGTGTTAGAGGTCTTTGCCTTGTTCTGGAGCTCTGTACAGTTCCAGCTTTAGAGACTTTGTTATGGCATGTTTGAGAACTTGATAAACTGCTGTGGTTAATGGAAAATTGCACAGCAGTAGATGGCTTCTTTGGAATGCTTTTCTCCGTGGCATCCCTTCATTAGAGGACATGATGACTGTTGTCTTCTTACCCTAAAAATAAGGGGTGGAGGTGAGAAACTTTGTTACTTTGGAAGTGTTCTGGTGTCTGGAAGTTGTTCTTCCTCTTGCTTCCCAGGAAGTTTGGGCTGCTAGAAAGATAATAGGATATTCAGAAAGGATATTTCAAATTATAATGAGAAAGATTGCTATTCATCAAAGGAAACCAGTGGCTCCTTTCCACACCCTAAAGTATTTTTTGATATTTAAGTGTTCCAGAGCAAAAAGAGTACTTAATCTGGAGCTTGTAGCAATCTGTTGTGAGATGACATCTGGGTTGGTAAAGCAGAGCAAGTTTCAAGAAATAACCAGAAGAATGTTCTGCAAGTATTGGGTTTTTTAATTATTTTTTTAATACAGGCTTTTTGTATGCATATACAAAGAGCTGAGGCCTATTAATGGAAAAATGTTCCTACGACCCCAACCAGGGACTGAATTTGCAACTCCATATTGTTTTTTTCTTTCTGGAAGCTGTTAGTGTTTACTTAGAATAGTTGTACTGTCTACTAGTTTATTCTACTTTGAAGCTTGACTGCCTATGATGAATGTCTATGTAGATAGAAAGGACTGTAGAATAGCTGCCTACATTGTCAGTCCACAATTTACTGTGCACTTTTTCCTTAGGCAGAGGATATTTGCTATGTACTTCTCTTGCCATTTTTGCTTTAAAGGGTGTTTGCCCCTGCAGTTTTATCTTTGGGTGGGAAGACATTTAACTGTACTACCTTTCAAGAATACTACTCTGCATTTTAGAACAGAACCTTAGACAGTCGTTGCATGGGATGGACTCTGTTCTAGAAGAATATGGGTGGGTATGTATAGTTGAGATGGAACTCACTGCAGATATACTGTGTCTTCTGCAGAAGTCTGGCAAAAGAGACAAAAATTAAGTGGTGATGGTCACAGAGCATTTGTTCCTATCTGAGCCCTAGTAAGTTTTGCCATAGTGATTATCCCATACCTGTGCCGTGTTACTCCAGTTTTGTTCCCTTTCAGAGAGTTTCAGCTTCCTGAATATAATGCAGTCTTTTCTCATTCTTTGACCAGAGCTGCTTGACAGCTTGCAGGGCCAAAAAGAGGCCCTGGAGAAATTGCTGTATAGTTCAACAGCAGAGAATTTTGTTTGGGGAACAGTTAAATATAGAATAATAAGCAGAAATAGGGTCATAGAAAACCATGTTGGTGTTTGTCATTTAAAGCACAGAATGCTTGACATATCCTGTGAACAAATACCAAGCTCTGTGTGATCAAATTCCTTGAGTAGTGTCTTGCAGCATTCTTCTGCTGGCTTTCATCAAATAAGAGATTAATTCCTGCATATCTGCAAGTATCTAGTGTTAACAGGTTTCTTGAGCTCAAAAATGTTTTTGATTTCTGACTTCTATACTGATGAGAAAGATGGCAACTGGCTCATAGAAACAGATAGGCAGGCCATGGATCCGAGAACCTCTTCCATACCTGCCAAGAGACCTGCTTGCCTCTGGGATTCAGTCTGGTCATTTTATTAGAGAGGCAGCAATGCCAGAACCAGGATTTTGTTTCTACAGTGAACTTACCAAAGAAGAAATAGAGCAAACCTGGCAGTTTTACACAGTCTAAGAAGATCCCGTGTTTGTTTATTATTAAATCTCAGGTACAGGAAGGATTTGCCCTTAAGGTTAGGAACAGTGTATGCAAATTTGGGTAATATAATTCATAGCTCTCAAGATTTAATCAAGATATACAAATGTCTATAAATGTCTATAATACAGCTCTAGCCTTGGGGAAAATTTTATAAGGGGTGCCAATGTCATTCTGTTAGACCAGCTAACCTTTTGGGAGCAAGCTTGGATCATTGTCTTCTTCCTCGTACCCACCCCTACCATAGCAGATCAGCTATTAGGTGGTGTTCCTTTTCTCTGAGCCTTTGGATCATTACGGCTACAATCCTACTACCACTGGGGACTTGGAAAGGTATTCTGCAAGTTGGCTTTTGAAG